TTTTCAAAGCAAACTGTTGATTTTCCTGATTGAAAGACCAGTAGCTGCTATGCTTCCTATTTGCCCAGCCACTGGTCTTGGCACATCCCTGCTGTAGTTCTTCAGGACGCAGTGATGTATTTCAGTTCCACTTGCAGTGGTGGTCAGAACGAGACTCTCAGACACATTCAACATGTACAGGCCTAGTGTACCCACCCACATTCACTACAATTCCTTGTGGTTGATGGGAGCTGTAGTTTCCTTTTACTGCACAGAGAAAGGAGAGGATATGATGCAATCCCTGCTATTACACTTCCTCTTTGACAGAGCAAATGCTGTTATGTTTTGAATGACAAAGATGAGGTCATGAAGATTCAATTAGGCTTTTCTTCTCAATGGTAAGGATTTTCAAGGATTCTGAGTAGTGTTTTCTGTAGGGGGTGTACTAATTGGTGATTTTTTGCCTATCCTGAAATTCTTCTTTAATTAATGTATTACATATTAACTAAAGCCATTAGATTTTAGTCAACTAACTGAAAATTGGAATTGATTTTCATCAATTGATCTAAAGTATTCCTAAACCCAGGACCCTGCAATCACTATATCTTGTCTCCCACAGTACACAGAACATGGAAATGCAATTATTTAGTAAATATAAACTGCTAAATACCTTTTATCATCAACAGTACATAGCAGGCTTGTGACTTCTATCAGTGTCCAGCTGAGCACTGGTTAATCTTGTAGGAGTTTTAATTCTGCTCTGACTGTCCTATGAGGTTGCAAAACCCCTGACCCTCTGTCTGGACAGTGCTGATTGGCCCTGTGCTGATCACATGCACTCTCCCATAGAAAAAAAACCTCTCTATTATTTATTTCAGGTACTTCTATAGCACTGTCAATATACACAGCGCTTTACATATACAGTTGTGTTCAAAATAATAGCAGTCAGACATCACTAACCTGATCAATCACTGTTTTTGGTAGAAATGATATTTCTACATGGCAAATAATTTACTAGCAGGTGTAGTAGAGTAATAGAAATCCAACAGACCCAACAGTCATGACATGCATGCTGCTGATTCTGTGTAATTGAATCACTAATTGAAAGGGGCATGTTCAAAATAATAGCAGTGTGGAGTTCTATTAGTGAGGTCATTCATTCTTTGAAAAACAGGTGGCAATTATTGCTCTTATTTAAGGAAGGAAGGCAGCAAATGTTGTACAAGCTGGTTACAGTGCATTTCTCTCTGAAATTCTGAGGAAAATGGGTCGTTCCAGACATTGTTCAGAAGAACAATGCGTACCTTGATTAAAAAGTTGATTGGAGAGGGGAAAACATATAAAGAAGTGCAGAACATGATAGGCTGCTCAGCTAAAATGATCGCAAATGCTTTAAAATGGCAACCAAAACCTGAAAGACGTGGAAGAAAGCGAAAAAACTACCATTCGAATGCATAGAAGAATAGCCAAAATGGCAAGAACTCAGCCAACAATCAGCTCCAGGAAGATCAAAGAAGGTCTAAAGTTACCTGTGAGTACTGTTACAATTAGAAGACACCTATGTGAAGCCAAGCTATCTGCAAAAAGCCCCCGCAAAGTCCCACTGTTGAAAAAAAAGACATGTGCTGAAGTGGTTACAATTAGCCAAAGAGCACATTGACTGGCCTAAAGAGAAATGGCGCAACATTTTGTGGACTGATGAAAGTAAGATTGTTCTTTTTGGGTCTAGTGGCCGGAGACAGTTTGTCAGACGACCCCCAAACACTGAATTCAAGCCACAGTACACTGTGAAGACAGTGAAGCATGGTTGTGCAAGCATCATGATATGGGGATGTTTATCATACTACGGTGTTGGGCCTATTTATCGCATACCAGGGATCATGGATCAGTTTGAATACATCAGAATACTTGAAGAGGTCATGCTACCTTATGCTGAAGAGGAAATGTCCTTGAAATGGGTGTTCCAACAAGACAAAGACCCCAAACACACCTGTAAACATGCAACATCTTGGTTCCAGACCAACTAGATTGACGTTATGGAGCGACCAGCCCAATCCCCAGATCTTAGTCCATTAGAAAACTTGTGGGGCGACATCAAAATGCAGTTTCTGAGGCAAAACCAAGAAATAGAGAAGAACTGTGGAATGTAGTCCAATCATCCTGGGCTGGAATACCTACTCACAGGTGCCAGAAGTTGGTTGACTCCATGCAACACAGATGTACAGCAGTTCTCAGAAACAGTGCTTATACAACTAAATATTAATTAAGTGATTCAAAGGAAAGCAAAATCTTCAAAAAATAGCAGTGTTTGTATTCTTCTTTACAAACTCAAACATTCACTATATAAACTGAAAAATGTTTGAACAGTCTAATATTCACTTTTCTTCAATTTAGAGGAACAACACAAATTTGATATATTTTTCTTCATGTTTTGATTTGGAATAGAATGTGTAGTGTTCCCAATGCATTTGTGTGTATGGAAATAAAAGCTATTAGAAGGATTTTGAGCTTTATTCACTTTTTTCAACACACTGCTATTATTGTGAACACAACTGTATATTGTACATTCACATCAGTCCCTAACCCTCAAGGGGCATACAATCTAAGGTCCCTAACTCACATTCATCTATACATACACATACTAGGGCCAATTTAGGCAGAAGCCAATTCACCTACAAACATGCCTTTGGAGTGTGGGAGGAGACCGGAGGACCCTGAGGAAACCCACACAGGCACAGGGAGCACATGCAAACTCCAGGCAGGTGGTGCCATGGTTGAGATTCGAACTAACGACCCTAGTAATGACAGGCTCTCTAGCCACACACACTAAACAGAACATGTGCAAAATGATTCCTAGATCTCTGTACTATCAGCAGATGGACTGGGGAAAGTAGAAGGGGAGGATCAGAGAAGACAGAATCAAACAGCCATGTTACACAATGCAGAGGATTAACCCCTTAGGTTCCACAGTGAGTATAACAAAAATGCTTTACTGCATATACAGACTGATTTTACTGTTGTGGGTTTAGTAGCACTTTAATTATAATTTTATTTTTGTTTAGTTTTAGTCACTGAAAACATGCAGCTGACAAAAACTTTGACGAAAAATATTGGCAAAATTAACACTGCAGTGCTCTAACCTGATTAATTTCAGTTGAAAAAAAAAAAAGAAGAGTTTTCACCAAGCAGTACTAAGGCTGGCCATACATCATACAATTTTCTTCAAAATGTTGCTTTAGGCTGGCCATACACTGTACAATTTCTGTCCAATTTCCTTTAGATTTAGATTCAACTATGTAGTGCAAGGGCCTGCCTACTTGGATACAACTGAAATTGTTGTATAGGTTTGACCTCATATTATATGTTTTTTGGTAAATCTAAAGCAAAAATCTCAAGAAAATTGTATAATGTATGGCCAGCCTTAGACTGACCAAAAACCAAATAATATGAGGTGAAACCTAAACAACACTTTCAATTGTATCCAATTAGGCAGGCCCTTGCACAACATAGTTGAAGGTAAATCTAAAGGAAATGGGGCAGAAAATTGTATAGTGTATGGCCAACCTAAGCCTGCTTTGACCAGCAGAAGTAGCAGCTGCAAATGCTCTGAAATCTATAGGAAGTTGTTCTCTAAAGCATAGCTACAGCTTGAGAAAAATTGGCCAGTGATACATCAATATGATGGTATAGTTTATTTTTATTGCAGCACCACACTGCATTGTCTTCAAAGCTAAATAAAAAAATATGTATTAAAACAGACTGCGTAAAACACTTAACACCAATACCTACCTTTCCCAAAATTAATCACAAAACAGTTTTAAGGCTGGCCATACACTATACAATTTTCTTTCCAATTTCTGCCCAATTTTCTTTAGATTTACTTTCAATTGTGTAGTGCAATGGCCCACCTAATTGGATACAATTGAAAGTGTTGTTTAGGTGTGACCTCATATCATATGGTTTTTGGTCAATCTAAAGCTATTTTCTAAAGAAAATTGTATAGTGTATGGCCAGCCTAAAGGGGGAGCTCCTCCCAGCAGCTAACACACTAATAAAGTAGTCATAAGAAGGACTGTTACGTCTATAGGACTGTTGAGTCTATAGAACTGTGAACACAGAGGAGATACCATGTACAGTATACGGTATGCAGCCCACCACTACAACACAGTATAGCACAAATGAGTAGAAACTGAACCAATATGTTCAAAGTACTTGAGTAATCATCTGTACTACAAAAACTGTCAGCCTTCCCACACAAAAAAAAAATAATATTTTTACAAATTACAGATCGAAAAGGTTACAGATACATTGAAAGGAAACATGACAACTGCTCTGCAGGAGACTACCAAGGATTTTCTAAGCTTTTAATGGCATTTTCGCTTCATAATTAACCAGCAAAAGCGACTGACAGGAATATAGGATGATAGCTACAAAAGTGGAGTAATAAGAAAAAAAATAGTGATGCTCTATTAATCAAAGAAGCACTGTTTGGCTTCTGCAACTATGGAGTACAATGCAGAAATCAAGATAATGAACATTATTCTACAATACTCCGCCAGTCCTTTATACATTATGACTGTGCTGTGAAGAATTTTGTACGTCATACTGAGGGGTTTGGGGGCCAAATAAGATTTATTGATCTAGAACTCTAACTACCAAACCTCCCCAGAAAAATACACCATTTTTTGACAAATCATTGATAGCCTTGCTTCTAACACACAAGAAGTAGTGATGGTCTACATGTTCGAGTTGAACGTTAGTTGGATTTGAACATGGGTTGTTCATGTGTTCTGTGAACACACGAATGCCGAGGGCGTTTGGCGGGCTATTTGCCTGCCACGCCCCACAATGCACTGCACCCTGACAGTGCATTGTGATTGGTCAAAGCATAGCACATGGCTAATCACAGGGCATGACATCACAAGGGGCAGGGGTGATCCCACCCCATTGTGACGTCATCAACCTATTTAAGAACTGTCATCCCGGCACAGCTGTCAGACGGCAGGAGCCATTATCGAGAGCAAAGCAGGTTTATTTTATTTTATTTTTTTTGGGGGGGGGGGGGGGGGGGGTCGACTGTGGTGGCGGGCATTGTGATTGACATTGGATCTACTTCAGGCACATTTTTTTATTTTTTAAGGACTTGTCAAAGACTTTCTTCTGTCTTTTTTTTTTTTTTTTTAAACTACATTTTTATTTTGTGAATGGGTACCGCATACTCATTCACATGGGGAGGGGGGCCGGATCTGGGGACCATCTGGTTAAATTGGGTTTCCAGATTCCAATAAGACGCCCCCCGCCCGCAGGACCCCACAACTACCAGCCAGGGTTGTGGGGGAAGAGGCCTTATCGGCATGGATACACTCATTCGTTCCCCCCTTTTTCTGGCCTGTCAGGCCTGTGTTCGGATCAAGGGTCTGGTAGGAATTTAGAGGGGACCCCAAGCCTTTTCTCCCCCATTTTTTTGGGGAGTGGGGTTCCCCCAAAAAAATCCTGCCAGGCCTAAAGGGTCTGGTATGGCTTTTAGGGGGAACCCCATGCACTTTTTTGAAAAATTTTTTTTTTTTTTTTTTTTTTTTTTTTTTAAACTGTGGGGTCCCTCCCAACCTTCCAACCAGACCTAAAGGGTCTGGTAAAGATAAGGGAGGGACCCCTTGCTGTTTATTTTTTTTTTTATAAAAATGTAATTTTTTTTTTAATGTCGGTCCTACTGAAGTGGGTTCTATACATTGTACAGATGTGTAACTTTTCAGGTAGTTTAAGGGGACCCCCCCCCCCCGGCATGATATTTAAAGGAATTTTTCTATTTATTTTTTTTTACTTTAAACAATGAAAAAATGACTGCCCCTTTAAAAATGGTACTTTTTGAGTCCCAATATCCCTTTTATGGCAAATAACATGAATTTAAGCCTTCAAAATGGGCACTTAGGAATCTGAAGTTTGAGTCCCAAAGACTTGCGTTATGTTCATAGTAGAACTTTCTTTTCTGTGTATGTATACTGTATATACAGTAGTATAGCTACAGTAGATTTCAGGCAAAATCAGATAATGCATACTGACTATATAGGTAAATTAAATCTGTTTGCAAATTCTGTTCCTAGGACAAATGGAGCAACTACTGAAGTAGGAGGAAGGCACATTTTACTTTAGCCCTCAAAACCCACTCAAGTAGGTATTTAAAAAATGGAAAATGTTTTTGTTGTTACATACACATGTGTCAGATGTCACTTTGGTGTAAATATTATTGGTTACTATAGTATAAAGTTACCAATATCCAATTTGTAATTATACTGTATGTGCACACAGGGACAGCCATATTTGCTTAATACATATGCAGGCTCTGCTACAATGTCTGTGTGTCACTGTTCCCTCTCATAATGCAAGTATATGGGTCTGCCAATCCTGAAAACCAAGCACTTACAGTATGGCTGGTAACATATCCCAACAGTTGTCAAAAGCCACTTGTAGCCAAAATTATGGTCAGCAACATATCTCAATGACTGTTAAAGGGCACCTGCAACCAAAGTTGGGGTAACATATTTCAATAGTTGTTAAAGGCCACGGAGGTACTAATCAATCCCAACTGTTACTAAAAGTTTGTTTTTTGTTTCTGTCCTTGTCCCCATTGGAGGGAAGTCCAATCACTTCCTCTATTCCCGTGTCACCACACAGGGAGAATCCATTCAGTAGGGGCACAGAGAACAATAAAAACTTGCAGGTAATCAAATTCGTCCTTGCTCTAAAGCAAAACAAAATGATGTGGCTGAAAAAAAATTCTTTAACCCCTTTAAGGAGTTCTGATTGGTGGGTGGTGGAGTTCCTTATCATGTTGTGCTGTGATTGCCTATCACACTGGTCACATGCTTGGGATCCCAATCGTTAACATTACTAAACCCACAACAGTAAAATCAGTCTGTATATGCAGTAAAGCATGCTTGTTATACCCACTGTGAAACCTAAGGGGTTAATTCTCTGCATTGTGTAAAAAAATATGTTTGATCCTGACTTCTCTGATCCTCCTCTTCCTCCAGTGTCTCCCTCTTATCTCCTGATACGACATTGTGTGGAGACACTGCACATGCTCAGTTTGGTGTGTATTGCTAGAGAGGTTGTATTTTCTCTCTTGGGAGAGTGCATGTGATCAGCACAGGGCCAAATCACGCAGTGAGCATACTTTTAACACACAACAGCGCTATGTAGGTATATTTGGGCAAGTTAAGGCCAACCCTCCCTGCTGCTGCACATATACATTTGATAGTTAGCAAGTGGTTTATCAGGAAGTACCAGTGATTGTACAAATGCATAGTTCCCTCTAGGGCTACCTTACAAATCGGCACATTACATAAATACAAAAATAAGGAAGAGAAAACTTTATGAAAGTCACAAACATTACCATATTGTAAGCATTACAATAATAATAATAGAAAACTACACGATCATTTCATTATCTTTTTTTCCCATCCCACTAAGTAGGCTACAAAAAAATGACAGTATGTATTTTTCAGTGCTGAGCAGATGAAGCCAACCATAAGCGCAGGAGAACAATCTGCTCCAGAAATGCTAGATGTAGCAATTTCTACAGAAATTCTCATAAGCCAGAGGAGAACAATTCACATATAAAGCCATTTTAAACTTTTGTGTATTTCAGTTTAGCATACAATACACAATGCAAGTTTCACGCAATAAAATTGGTGTGTACATTTGACACTTTACTTTCTGTAAAAAAAAATGAAGGTGATGCTAAAAGGCTGTTTTTTGTTTTTTTTTATTTTAATAAAAAAGAGGTTAGATTTACCTGTTCTGTGCAGCTATATTGCATGGAAAGTTCCCTTACCTCTGGCAGTCCCTGATGGAGATGACAGCTTCTCCCTCCTCTGGGTGCCTCCTGTAGCAAGCCAGGGGCTAAAGGGGCACCCATGCATGCACACTCCTGAGCCAGGCTGTGTGCATCCATAGAATAATCCGAACACATAAAGCAAAGGCCAATTGCAGACTTTAGAGGCACTGTGACAAAATTATTTTTTTTAAAATCACTTTATTATAGGAATGTACACCATGCACATCAGTTACTTACATGTTAATCCGCTAAGAATACAAGACTCCCATTGGGGGGTAGAGTATTCTATGCTGGTTACAAAACTCTTCAAATATTTTTCTTATTAAAATTGACACAAAATGTACCGTATCCCAGTAAATATATCAAAAGACATAAATCGAATGTCGAGATTTGTAATCACATAGTAACTTTATAGTTACTCAACATGTTTCACAACATTAACGCTTCTTCAGGAGTTACTACATAGACAAAATAACTGAATATAAGTATAACATAATATCACATGGTATAGAATTGTCTGTGAACATAAGATTTCAAAAATATCTTGAGGTATCAGTTACAGAGCAGAAAGTGTGTCGGGATAGATGATAACGCATGGATCAAACGCGTGTCAAGCAAGGCAGCAGGGGGATCCTATAAGGATTGAGCACCACTTGGTAGTCCCCATAGAAGGGTTGTTTTCAAAATCTAAAAAAGGTATATCGATCATACATTACTTCAGTGAATACTCTCTAGTGACCTTTTGGGCTTTAAAATCGATGTTCACATAAATCTTACAGCCTTTACCTTTGGAAGGTTAGCTTTATTTGACCTTTACTATATTACCATATGGATTGGGGAAAGGTTACATAGCTATTTTATGATCTATATACCTTTTTTAGATTTTGAAAACAACCCTTCTATGGAGGACTATCAAGTGGTGTGCCATCCTTATAGAATCCCCCTGCTGACACGCGTTTGATTCATGCGTTATCTATCCCGACACACTTTCTGCTCTGTAACCGATACCTCAAGGTATTTTTGAAATCTTATATTCACAGACAATTCTATACTATGTGATATTATGTTATACTTATATTCAATTGTTTTCTCTATGTAGTTAATGTTGTGAAACACGTAACTATAGAGTAACTACTATGTGATTACCCATATCGACATTCGATTTATGCCTTTTGATATCTTTACTGGGATACGGTACATTTGTGTCAATTTTAATAGGAAAAAAATTTGAAGAGTTTTGTAACCAGCATAGAATACTCTACCCCCCATGGGAGTCTTGTATTCTTAGCGGAGTAACATGTATGTAACTGATGTGTATGGTGTACATTCCCAGGGGCGGACTGACCATTCGAGCACTCGGACACTGCCCGAGGGCCCAGGGTCAGTAGGGGGCCCCATGAAATGCCCCTGGTATCTTTTATAGGCTATTTTGGATGTGCTTTGAGTGTTTGCAAGGACACAGGGGCCCCATGATCCTCTATTGCCCGGGGGCCCCATGAGTTGTCAGTCCACCCCTGTACATTCCTATAATAAAGTGATTTTAAAAAATATTGTCGCAGTGCCTCTAAAGTCTGCAATTGACCTTTGCTTTATGTGTTCGGATTATTCTATTTAATGTTATGGGACGTGACACATAGAAGCCTATATATGCCCCTACAGTTGGTCACTCTGTATGTGATATTCATTCGTGTGTGCATCCATAGACACACACAGCATCAGTAAGCCAAGCCCCTGCTTCCTCCACACCAGAGTTTGATTGATGGCAGCCGGAGGTTTTAGCTCTGCTACCTTCAGTTTTTCCTCTGAAAACAAGAGTTAGGGGAGCTGTGCTGGGGCCAGAGACAGAACTGGAGTTGTGACATAGCACCAAGTAAGTGTTTAGGGATGAGGGGAGGGCTTGGGGCTAGGACAGATAGTGGGGCATTTTTGGACATAAGTACCATTTAAATTGTTTCCTTTTGTTTCTGTAAGTATCACAGATGGCAATTTTAGTTACAATCAAAGAGCACTGAAAACGTAAAGCTGATCTCCAGGATCCCTAACACTTTTGAACCTTATCTCTCTTTCCCAATCCACAATAACCTTTTTTTTTTTTTTTTTTAAATATAACAACTTACTTTTTGTGTGTTTATTATTTTTATATTGTGCAATGTCATTCTCCTTCAGTTTGCCTGGGCACTTGGTGGGAGAATCTAGGGAAGCAGTGCACGTTACATTTGACATGTCTCAGGGTGAGAAAGCAGAACTGCATTTCCCATGGTACCATGGAAATTCACTGAGGTGGTGGGCAGGGATGAAGGTGGTGCTCAGGACTCTGCTCAGTGCATAGCAACAGGTTGCAACCAAGTGTTTGGAGATTGCACTTACCCACAAAAGGAAATGTGACATGAGCACATCATTGCAAACTGCGTGGTGGAGTCGCATATACTGTATGCACCAGGTCAGCAGAAAGAGGTTATTGAATCAGACAAAAAAAAAAAAAAAAAAAGATCACATTAAAGTTATCACACTTGAAAATCAAACTCTAAAGCACAAACTTCCCCTTCAGTTGTCCTTCAGCCTACCCAACTGGTGGACAACTGAAGGTGACACAAGGCATAATGACAACCCTACTACTAACTACAGAGCTGTAGCTTAAAATGATTCTAAAAGGTTATTTTTTTATTTTTGGAAAATAACAAACATGTCCATACTTACCTGCTGTGTGCAGTGGTTTTGCACAGAGCAGCCTGGATCCTCCTCTTTTCAGATGCCCCGCATGCTCTCCTGGCTCCTCCCACCTATCTGGTGCCCCCACAGCAAGCAGCTTGCTATGGGGGCAACCACTGCTTTGTGTGCCCATTCACACATGGAGCGGCTGCTTGCCCCCTCCCCTCTCTCCTCACTGGCTATGATTGACAGCAGCGAGAGCCAATGGCTCCTGCTTGCTGTCTCAGCCAAGGCATCCAAGGCTGTCATTCACATCGCTGGATCTCGATGGGGCTCAGGTAAGTATTAAGGGCCCTGAGGGCACTGCTGCACACAGAAGGTTTTTACCTTCAAGCATAGAATGCATGATGGTAAAAAAACCTTCAGCCTTTCCAACCGCTTTAACGCGGTCAGTCTAAAAACAAAGTGTTGTTATTGGCAAGATCTTCAGCTACCATTTTTTTCTTACAGCTGAACGTCAAGCAGATATAAAAGATGCAAACTAAAAATAGATTTGGGGTGTACATAAACTTCAACTTGACCATACCCCTAACCCTAACCTAAATGTGAAATTAAGGCAACAGTAACATTATAAACTGACAAATGCAGCACTATACTGTGCGGTCAGCTTACTACTGCAAAGGTTCCATGCACACTAGCACTTTTTCTAAGCTCAAAAAAATGCTGGAAAAAGCGCTGGATAAAAAAAAAAAACTCTGGTAATCGCATTTTAGTAGTGTTCAGAAGTGTTAGCGTTTTATAACCATTTTTACAGTACATGTAGAGGGAAAAAAAAGCTGTTAGGAACGGTTTAGGGCATTTAGCATTTTTTTTTTGCTGGAAAAATGCTCCAAAAAAAACTGCACAAAACACAATTTTTTTTTCTGCTCCTAGATGCTGAAGCTCAAAAATGCTAATAGTCTAAAGTAGTGTGCATGGACACATAGGATAACACTATTTTACTTCTTGGAGAAAAAAAAAACTTTCTAATAACAGCTTCTAGGAGCTTAAAAAAAAAAAAAAAAAAAAAAAAAAAAAAAAAAAAAGCTAGTGTGCATGGAGCCCTATCGTGGTTCATACTGTTTTCTTTAAACGCCTCCCGCCCGCCATATAACGAAATGGGGGGGGGGGGGGCAGCGGCTCTCTCGTTCTGGCAGGGCGTCATATGATGTCCTCCCACTCTAGCTGCGCATGTGTGCCCCAGCGACCAATGGTGCGCTATATCCCTGGGACACAGCAGATCACCGATCGCTGTAAAGAGCTGACAGAGGCTATCATGTGATCAGCTGTGTCCAATTACAGCTGATCACATGTAAATAGGAAATGTTTGTTATCTGCAGTCCTCTCTCACACTGACAGTACGTGAGGAGAGGAGAGCCGGAAAGTGGCATTCTTCAGAGGGGATATCTACACTGATCATCAGAGCATTGATCATCACTGCCCTGATTATCAGTGAAACCCCATCAGTGCTGCCTTTCAGTGCCCATAATTGCCACATACCAGTGCCCATCAGTGCACATCAATGCCACATATCAGTGCACATCGATGCCATATGTCAGTGCCCATCAGAGCTGCATATCAGTGCCAGTTAGTGACACCTATCAGTGATGTCTATCAGTGCCTATTAGTGCCGCCAATCAGTGGCCATC